TGGTTTTTACCACAATGGGTTTATCTCGCTAGATAATATTAGAATTAGACTTGGTATGATATGTGATAACATGTTTATGTGACTAGATGAGTATGGGATTTGGTTTCTATGATATTGATTCGAGCTACAAGTTTCTAGAAATCCAATTAGAAGAGCACTTGATCACTGCTATAACGATTTCGGTTTAGACTCGACCCGTTTATTGTTTTGGAGCTGGGATTCCTTGTCTTATTTGGTTGTTCATATCCTTTTTCATCTTATTCTTGATTGAGTTTGGTTGTTTGGATGTCTTTGTTGCGTTTGAAATAGGTCGGGAGTTTGTTTTTCAATAGAACTATTGCCTAGATTTTAGTCAGTTCGCTCGAGTGGTCCTTGAGAACTTCCTGTAAATATACTGGAAGGATGGTATTTTCGCTCAAGCGGTCTCAGTTTTGTGTCTGGTCACTCGAGTGGTATTTTGGTCGTTTAAGCGGTCTGCGCGTATATCAGTTCCAAAAAGCCACTTTTTGAGTCACTTTTTTATAAATCTCTCTCTCTCTCTCTCTTTCTCTCTCTAAACATTTCAAAACCCTAAATCTAGACCTCTCTCTAGAACTCATCTCCTACCTTCAAATGGGTGTGTTTGGTTTGCTTTTGAGAGAGTGATTTAAAAAAAAAAAAAAAAAAATTGGGGAGAGAGTTTAGAAAAAAGTAGTTTTGAAGTTTGGGATGATTTGATATTTGTTGTAATTGAGTAAATGTGTGAGATAAAAAGTGATTGAGAAGGAAAAAAGAGAGAGAGAAAAAGTGATTGATTGATGTATATGAGAGAGAAAGTGACTTTGGAAATTTTTTGAGAAAAATCACAAACCAAACAAAATTTTGAAAAAAAAAAATTCAAAAGCAACTCTCCCAAAAATAAAGCAAACAAGCCCATCATCTATTGATCTCTACACCCTAGTCCCTTTGATAAAAAGGTAAAGCTTCCATTTGATCGGAGCAAAGTCCATTTTTGACTCCATTGAAGTTTTAACCTTGCTCTTGCTTGTCTTCTAACTTGAGGTAGAGATTTCTACACACTTTGTAAGGTTTTTAACTTGGTTATTTGTCTTTCTAAAGAAATCATGGAATTTGGGCATTTTTGAACAAATCTAGGGTTTTGGTTTAAAAATCAAAAGAGGGGTTTTCAAATGATTTTCTTGGAAATGATTATGGGAGTGTATTTATGGTTGAGTTATGATGAAATGATAGAATTTTATCTTTGAAATTGTTTTATAAAAAAAAAATGGGGTTTTTCCCTAATTTTGGATATTGGAAATTGTAACAAGGAAATGGAAAATGATATTGGTTATTATGGAATTGGAATGATGATGATGATGATGATGATAGTGGAGTTGGATATGTATTATCACTCCCATCTTGAAATTTTGGAAAGTATATCTTAGTTGAAATTATCTATCTGTTTAGAGATATCTGTTTTGGGCTATTGGTGGAGAATAGCTATGATTGTTGTAGAAATTGCATGAGAATTAGGAGAATTGAAAATAATTTCTCATCCATTTGCATTGAGCATTGTTTCTTACATTGGAAATGTATATTGTTTCAGAAAAATGGGTGAATACATTGCTAAATCTAGGTAGGGGGTGTGGTTGTGGTATTATTGTTAGCCTATGTGTCCTTGGTGAAATTCTAGAAACCCGCGTGGTTAGGTGTCGAACCTTCCAGTTAGTACCGGTAAAAATGGCAATTGGTAGTGCTTGTATAGCCTACTTGTAAACACGTACCTAGAGATTCTCAGTGTTGTATCTACTATCCTGTTTTCTATTATAAAGGAAATGTTTTCATGAATTGTGATATAAACCTAGCATTTCATGGTTTTGGAAAGAGTTATAAAATGTTTTGGCATGAGCATTGCATAAACATTCACCTTATAGCTTTGTTAAGATTCATACACTATGCTAAAGTATCTCTGCTGGGCGTTGGCTGACCTTATATGGAAAACCATTTTCAAGTGCTGATGATATGCCTTAGCCAAGGCAGTAGCTTAGGAGGACTTGGAGCCAAGAGCTTCTTTTTGTTATTATTGTAATTATTTTGTACAAGCCTAGGGCTTTATTTGTATTGAGTTTAAACTCACTTTGGTTGTAACCAAGTACTGTCTTGGAAAGTTGGAGCCATTAGGGCATTTATATATCTGTTTAACTTTTATTTCATATCATTAACTTGTTGCACATGCTATAGATTCAGAGTTATGATTTATGAATATATAATTGCATGTGTTACCATTTGTACAATGGAATCATATGAATGAAAGATAATTATTTCAGTACATGTTGTTATTTAATTAATATCGTGAGATGGTTTTATTATTATATTTTCAGGGCATTACAACTTGGTATCAAAGCTACGGGGTTTGAATACTTTGGGATCGTGGGATGTGGTTTGTACCACAATAGGTTATCTCGCTAGCTTGTGTTAGGAGTAAACCTAGTATGCTATGTGATAACATGCTTATGTGACTAAGTGGGTATGGAATTTAATTTCTAAGATATTGATTGGGTCTACAAGGTTCTAGAAGTCGTGTTAGAAGAGCACTTGATCACTGCTATTTCTAACTAGAACTCTAGCAACGTCGCGGGGCGATCATTATCTAGAAAGGAAATTCATATGTGTTTATGTGACTACATGCTTATGAAATTTTGGAAAGTATATCTTTGTTGAAATTATCTATCTGTTTAGAGATATCTGTTTTGGGCTATCAGTGGTGGATAGTTATGATTATTGGAGAAATTGCATGAGAATTACAAGAATTGAAACTAATTTATCATCCATTTGCATTGAGCATTGTTGTATATTTAACACATTGGAAATGTATATTGTTTTAAGAAAAAGGGGTGAATACCTTGGTGAATCTAGGTAGGGGGTATGGTTGTGGTATTATTGTTAGCCTGTGTGTCCTTGATAAAAGTCCAGAAACCCGTGTAGTTAGGTGCAGAGCCTTCCGGTTAGTACCGATAAAAATGGCAATTGGTAGTGTTTGTATAGCCTACTTGCAGACACATACCTAGAGATTCCCAGTGTTATATCTACTGCCCTGTTTTCTATTGTAAAGGAAATGTTTTCATGAATTGTGATATAAACCTGACATTGTATGGTTTTGGAAAGAGATATAAAACATTTTGGCACGAGTATTGCATATGCATTCACCTTATAACTTTGTTAAGATTCATACACTGTGCTAGAGTATCTTTGCTAGGCTTGGCTCACCTTATGTGAAAAACCATTCTCAGGTGCTGAAGATATGCCTCTACTAAGGCCTTGCGAGGACTTGGAGTCAAGAGCTTCCTTTTGTTATTGTTGTAATTGTATTTTACAAGCCTAGGGCTTTATTTGTATTAAGTTTAAACTTGCTTTTGTTGTAACCAAGCATCGTCTTAGAAAGTTGTAGCCATTAGGGCATTTATATATTTGTTTAACTTTTATTTCCTATAATTAACTTGTGGCATATGCCATAGATTCAGGGATGGGGGCTTATGAATGTATAACTACATGTGTTACCTTTTGTAAAATGGAATTATATGAATGGAAGACATTTATTTCGGAACATGTTATTATTTAATTAATATCATGAGATGGTTTTATTATTATATTTTCGGGGCATTGCAATTGCATATTCTAACTGGAACTCTAGCAATGTCACAGAACAATTAAACATTTAGAAAGGAATTTGTTTGTGATTACATGACTCAGTGCTTATGTGGAATGAATTAATTGTTATCCACTGTATTAGGACGTGAGTGAGTTCACTTCGGCACATTTGTAAATGTGCTAAACTATTGTGTTACCTTTATTAGAATGTCAGGATAAAGACATGGTGGTGGTAGGAGTGGTAGGCCTAGACGGCAGGAGGTGCCAATACCAGATGAAATTCTGGCACAAGAGGAAAAAGTTGGCCAGGCTAATGTGGCCAAACCAGCAGGTCAGCAAGCCATGGGTGCCTTAGCCTATGAAATAACAAGCGCGTTGTGGGAATCAATGGACATTCTCAGGACTAAGAATCAAGTCCAGGTCCATGTTGCAAAAATAGGGCTATCCTTTCTAAATAAGGACTTTTTCCAATTGAATCCAGACAAATTTGTAGGGGATCCGAAAGGGCCACTAAAGGCCGACGAGTGTCTCAAACAAATGGTGAAGATATTCGAGATGCTTGGCATCGAGGACGTCGATTTGAGGGTAGCCTTGGCGTCTTTCTAACTAAATGGAGATGCGGCTCAATGGTGGAACAAGGGCGTATTCGGGTGACTTGGGAATTTGTCAACGCCTTCCAGGACAAGTTTTTGCCACCTACTAGTAGAGAGAAGTTGAGAGACCAGTTTATGAAGATCAAGCAATTAAATATGTCGGTAGCCGATTTTGAGACGGCTTCCACTAGTTTGTCAAAATTTGCACAAGAACTTGTGGTGACAGAAGAACACCATTGCATTGAGTTTGAGAAGAGGTTGAGGATTGAGCTCCTTTTCAAGATGGTCGGGTCAATGATTAGGGATTATGGCCGTCTTATGGAGTTAGTGGCCTACTTAGTAACCGTGATCCAAGTGGAGGAGTAACGAATGAGGGACTCTAGGCAAAGGAGTTAGGATGTTCAGGGGGACTCTAGGGACAACAAATGACAAAGGGATTCCACCCCACAGTAGTCCCAGGCTACATAGTTTAGATCCACCTTTCCTATACTAAGCTCAAGTTCAAGGAGAGATAATCATGGTGGGTTCTCTTGCCTCAAGTGTGGTCAGTTAAGCCACACGTCTTTAGTTTGCCTACAGAAAGGAAGAGGGCAACAATCTGCACCGCCTTCGACTTGTCCTCAGAGCTAAAGTCAGGGGAGAGGTCAGCCGCCTATCTATTATCAATGTGGGTAGTCGAGTCACTTGAGGAGGTTTTACCCTTAGTTGACATAGAGCTATCTACCAGTACAGTCGGCACAGGCCTTGAGGACCAATCATGGAACCATTTCGGCTCAATCTATGTATCAAGCTTATGCTCCAAAGGGTGAGCAGGTAGAGCAGAGGCCTTTAGGAAGTGTGTATGTTGTTACCATGCCAGATCAATTGCCATCACCTTCTGTAGTGAGAGGTAACTTTTTGTTGTTTAACTTTATTGCCAATGTGTTGATTAATACTGGTGCATCTCATTCATTCATATCGCCTCCTTTTGCATCAGCTTTGGGTTTGGAGTTTGAATTGTTGGAGTCTCCTCTGTTGGTTGAGACACCTATTAAGGGTAAAGTGGCATTGGGTCGAGTATGTTGCCCCGTGAGATTAAGGTTGCAGATCGTTGACTCTCTTTCGATTTTATTGTTCTTGACATGCATGCTTTTGACGTAATTCTAGGTATAGATTGGTTGACTCATTACTAAGCTTCGATAGATTGCTATCACAGGAGGTTATCAGTATATATGTCATCAGGAGAGTACCTATATTTTATGTGTGATAGGGATGATAGTTTTACTCCTTTATTATATGGCCTCAAGGGTCGAGGAGAGTTGAGTTTTGTTTTTGCCATCACAGTAGTCGATGAGGGTAGTGTAATTCGGAGTGAATGGCCTAGAGTAGTTCGAGAATATCCAGATATTTTTTTGAAGGATCTCACAGAGTTACCACCATATAGAGAGATTGAGTTCTTAATTGACTTAGAGCCAGGCACAATTCCGATTTCCATGGCACCATATAGGTTTGCACAAGCCAAGTTTTGTGAGTTGAAGGTGCAACTATAGGATTTGTTAGATAATGGCTTCATTCATCTTAGTACATCACATTGGGGAGCACTGACTCTCTTTGCTAAGAAGAAAGATGGCACATTGTGACTGTACATTGAGTATTGGAAGTTGAGCCGAGTAACTGTTAAGAACAAATACTCATTACCACTAATAGATGACCTATTTGGCTAGTTGAAGGGGTTTCATTGTTTTCCTAAGATTGATTTGAGGTCGGGGTATCACTAGTTGAGGGTGAAGGAGGAGGATATTTAGAAAACGGCATTCCGTACACTGTATGGCCATTACGAGTTCTTAGTGATGCCTCTTGGGTTGACCAATGCACCGGTTTCGTTTATGGACTTGATGGATTGAGTCTTTCGTGAGTTCTTAGATTGATTCATGGTTGTCTTCGTCGATGACATCTTAGTCTACTCACCCTCCGATAAAGAACATGAAGAATACTTGCGAGTTATACTTGAGTTGATTAGAGCACATCAGTTATATGCTAAGTTTGGCAAATGTGAGCTTTGGCTCAACGAAGTTAATTTCTTAGGCCATGTGGTGTCTAAGGAAAGGGTGACTATGGATTCATCTAAGATAGATGCAGTGCAAGATTAGGAACAACCTAAGAATGCCTTTGAAATCCAGAATTTCATGGGCTTAGCCGAGTATTACCGACGCTTTGTTAAAGATTTCTCTAGATTGACCTCACCATTGACTAGATTGACGAGGAAATGGGTTAGATTTATGTGGAGTGAGACTTGCTAAAAGTCATTTCAAGAACATAAGGTTAGACTCACCACTACTCCAATTTTGATTATCCAGGAGAAGGGTTTAGGTTGTTCGGTTTATTGTGATACGTCCCGGGAAGGTTTAGGTTGTGTATTGATGCAAGAAGGGAAGGTGGTAGCATACGATTCATGACAATTGAAAACACATGAAAGAAATTATCCCACTCACAACCTAGAGTTAACGGTGGTGATTTTTAGCTTAAAAATTTGGAGGCATTACCAATACAGGGAGAGATTTGAAGTGTTTTTCAATCACAAGAGTTTGAAGTATTCATTCTCACATAAGGACTTGAATTTGAGGTAGAGGAGGTGGATGGAGTTATGGAAGATTATGATTTTGAGTTACATTATCATCCGGGGTAGGCCAACGGAGTGGCCGATGCTTTAAGTAGGAAGTCCGTAAGTAGTGTAGCTAGCATTGTCATCTAGGAGTGGGAGATGTTTGGTGCTATTGGCGCATTTGACTTGTACATGGGTGAATCCATTGAATTGGTCACCTTATTTACCGCAGTTGCACAACCTACCTTAGTTAGCCAGGTTATAAAGGCACAATAGTGTAATCCTGAAGTAAAGGCTATCCAAGGGAAGATCTTCAACGGAAAGGTGGAGAAGGGTTTGAACATTCATTCATATTTGAGTGCAAGATATTTAGACCGACTTTTTTGCTAGAGTCTTGTAAAGAGGAAGTACTTCGAGAGTTTCACCATTCATGCCTTACGGTATACCTAGGAGGCACAAAGATATATCACGACCTTGGTCGCCAGTTTTGGTGGAGCAGGATGAGGAGAGATGTAGCCTTGTTTCTTTCGAGATGCTTTATTTGTCAACAAGTGAAAGCCGAGAATTAGAGATCAGCGGGTTTGTCGCATCCTTTACCTATAGTCGAGTAGAAGTGGGAGCATGTCACGATAGATTTTATTGTGGGTCTTCTGAGGACTCAACAAGGTAATGATGCCATATAGGTCATGGTTGATCGGTCAACCAAATCTGCAAACTTTATACCTATGCGTATGAGTGACTCGGTAGACTACCTCATCGATTTGTATGTTAGAGATATAGCGCAACTTCACGGGGTCCCAATGACTATTGTTTCGAATAGGGATCCAGGTTTTACAGTTCTGTTGTGGCTGAGCCTACAGAGTGCCTTGGCACTAAGTTGACCTTTAGTACCGCCTATTATCCTCAAACTGACAGGTAGTCCAATCGCACCATTCACTTGCCTTTGGTAGAATTTACCAACAATAATAGTTTTCAAGTGAGTATTGGTATAGTGCCTTTTGAGGCCTTGTATGGCCGACAGTGTGGATCTCCTGTGTGTTGGGTCGAGGTGGGTGATACACCCATGTTAGGCTTGGAGTTAGTCCAGGAAACGATGGAGAAAATTATGCTTATTCGTAAGAGGTTGGTTTCAGCTTAGAATTGCCAGAAGAGCTATGTCAACCATAGGATGAGACCTTTGTGTTTTGTGGTAAGGGATCATGTGTTTCTGAAAATATCACCAAGACGGGGTTTGATGAGATTTAGGAAGAGTAGGAAGTTGTCACCTAGATTTATTAGGCCTTCTGAGATTCTAGAGCGAATTGGGGAGGTAGCTTATCGTTTGGGCCTTGCCACCCTAACTTTTCAGGGTTCATGACGTGCTTCGTACTTGTGTGCTTTGGAAATATGAACCTAATCCTTCAGAAGTGTTGGATTGGATCGAGTTAGAGGTAGATGAGAATCATTCGAATGAAAAGAGACTCGTTCGGGTGTTAGATACTCGGGATCAAGTCTTAAGGGGCAAGACTATCCCATTGGTTAAGGTGTTGTGTTGACACCATGGAGTCGAGGAAATGACTTGGAAGCATGAGGTGGAAGTCCGTGAGAAGTATTCGGACCTATTTGTTGATATTTAAGACTTGCATTGAAAATTTTATTCATATTGTAATATATAAAGATTGTTAATGTTTTCGGAACTCAAATTGTAATATTTGGTGTTGGAAGACTCTATTTTATCATTATTACTAATGTGGATGGTCAATGGAATTAAAATCCGGTAGTTATTGGTTTGATTTAAATTTCGGGGACGAATTTCTTAAGGGGGGATATTATAACGGTTCCGGTTTAGACCCGACCCATTTCATGCTCTTAGATCTAGGGTTCCGTGTCTTTAATTGTTATTCATGTCGTTTATCATCTTGTTGGTAGTTGAGTTGGGTTGCTGGTTGTGTTTAAAATATGTTGGGAGTTAGTTTTTCAAAAGAGTTGATGTCCAAATTTCTTCTTGTTCGCTTGAGCGTTGTTTTGGTCGCTTAAGCGGTCTTTGAGATCTCCTAGTATTTTTGCAGGTCTGCAAAACTTATGGGAATAGGGTATCTTTGCTCGAGCGGTCTTTCTTGTGCTCTAGTAGTTTTCTTCAGTCCAGAAAACTTCTGGGAGGGGGTCATTGTGCGCTCAAGCAGTGTCACTTATTGTGTCTGATGCTCGAGCGATGTTTTGGTCGCTCAAACGATCTATGCATATATCAATTAGGGAAAAATGGATTTTTAAATCATTTTTTCATTCCTCTCTCTCTCTCTCTCTCTAAAACACCTCCAATCCTAATTTTTTTACTTTCTCTATCTAGTTCTTGCTTTAAAACCTCAAATACACCCTCACCTATTGATTTCTCCACCATAGTTCCTTCGAGAAAAAGTTAGATCTCGTCAAAACCTTCATTTTTGTAACATTTGTATGCTTTAATCTATTGGGGAGATGTATTTAATTCCTTTATTTTCTTTTTAGGAGTCTTTGGAGATGTTGTATCTTGGTTTTGAAGGAGTACAAATCAATTTAAACTTTTTGGGATTGTCTGTTCACGCTTGTTTATGTTAAAAAGTTGTTTAAGAACTTAGAAATCTTGTTCTGGGGTCGACACCAATCTTGGTGGTGTCGACACTTGCCTTTTGTTGTTGGCCTCAAAGGTCGACACTGGTCTAGAAAGGGTCAACCATTGTCTGTTGCAGAATCTGGGGGTTGCTTGCTGGAATTTAATGTCGACACCAGTCTGGGAGGTGTCGACACCTTGTCCTCTGCACACACTAGTGTCTTAGCTTTTCTTTTTGAAGAGTTGACCCCTGTGTGTAATTTTCAGATTTTTGGGCTGGTTTGGGCCCTACTTTTTGGAGATTTTTGACTTATTCTTTTCATTTGACTTTGGGGCTATTGTTCCATTATTACCTTGCTACTATAAGTAGGCTCCAAAAACTTATTCATTTCACTTTTCCTCCTCTTTTGTCTCTCTACAACGTGAGTTCTCTTCTCTCTCTCTCTCTCTCTCTCTCTCTAAACTCAAACTTTTTCACTTACATCTTTAGATCTACTCACCTAGAGTGATCTTTTCACCTTGGTCCTTTGAGAAAGCTTGTAGATCTCGTTAAGGGCTTCCTTTTGATCCAAGAGTTTCGTGGTTTCGTCATCGGCGATTTTTGGGTTGTCATGTCTTTGCTTCAAGAGGTAGGGGTTTCTAGTTCTCCTTCAATACCCTCATTTATAGATAGATTTGTGGTATTTTCTTTATATAAATACAAAGTTTATATTTTTATACATATTGTGAATAAATCATGAGACTTGGGGGTTTAGGGTTTGAAGTGTTGGGTTATGATTTTGGATTATGAATTTGGGTGTATAATTAATAGAAGAGTTGGAATAAAAAGTGTTTTGTGTGAAACGCTTTAATTTCTCTTAAAAACCCTAGTTTGACTCATAAATATGGCTGATGGTTTTGCTTAAATTGAAAGTAAAATCATGAAGTTGAGGTGTTAAATTACACGTGTTCAAGTTCAATTGAAATTTTAAAAAGTTTGAAAAATTTATGCAAAAGTTGCGATTGAATTCTTAATGTTGATGTTTTAAATTATGTTATAATATGAAACTAAACTTAGGAGAAATGAAATTACTAATGGTATGGGTGATGTGAGCTTCGTGATGAAACGATGATGTGGAAGTTTAAGAGTTTGTATTGAATTATGCCGAATTGTATTGGATGGTGTTGTGATGGGTTGTGTTGAATTTTATTGTGTTATGTTGAATTGTATTGAGTTATGTTAAATTATGTTGTGTTGAGTTGAGTTGAGTTGAGTTGAGTTGTGTTGAGTTTGGTTGAGTTATGTTGAGTGGAGTTGAGTTGTGTTGGGTTGAGTTGAGTTGTGTTGGATTGTGTTATGGTTGGTACCCGTGCAGGGAGTTGAAAATGTTTTTGGGTGCCCA